AGTTTTAGAGATACCTCGTCCCTCAAATCGGCTTCTCGCCCCTTGCCGATAAACTCAGCTTACGCTCTGTCCTTATATTCATCCATGCACGAAACATTGTAAAAGCCGGGGAACCGAGAAGCCGGAAAAATAAAATACAACTAGAATGAAAACGTAAAAATGATAAAAGACTATTATTTCACAGGTATGTTTTAATATAACAGGCAGTTGCAATCAGGGTAAAACTTTATATTCACACATACTCATAGACACGTATTTATTTCGTACATTTTCCAATACACTATACCAAGATAAACAATAGCTGCGTTGGACATCGAAGACGTCGGATTGTTCTTTCATCTCGAAGATGCATAGAAATGAAAAGATATGAGATCTCGTATCTCTCTCACTTCTGTGCATTTTCGAAGTAAAAGAGCATTTTCGAAGAAAAGAGCAATCCGATGTCTTCGATTTACAATGCCGAACGCAGCTATTGTGCTCCGTGATATAGGCCGCCGCCATATTTAGTGATCACTTCCGACTTTCATTCCTCTCATCCCTGAGAGTTCACTCCCCGCGAAATACGCTCCGTCCATGGATTAATCATTGAGCAGGGATGCGTTCTACACGTCACCTGCGTGCTCCCTCTCTTTTTATCTCATTCTCGTGTCTCTCTCATTCCAACGCAGCGGGTATACCTGAGTGACGTTTCCGAACGCACCCCAGTGTTATAGCAAACCCTCTTTTCGTGCATGCGCATCGAATGTCCCAAAAGGTACAGAATACAGAACACATATGAAAATAAACATTACGATTTTCGGCGGGACTTTTCAGCGAAGATGGTAAGGAAATAACGTCATATAATTATTGATTTTATTTATGTGAGCAATATAAATAATAATTTAAAAAACGTAAGAAATATAAATGTAAATGTTCTTTTTTAAATAACTATAACAAAAAATTTTATTTGTTTAATATTCTTTTTCCTTAAACTTATACAAGAATTAGTACCTTTAATGTAACAAAATATCAGATAAAGGAGTCACTTTAAATGTTTAATTACGTATATCATGGACATTGTGTGTATATATATATATATATATGTACATATTTTTTTATGTTTATATATAAACTATTCTTCTACAAAATATAGAATAATTTAACAGATCACACTACTTGAACCAATGCATTCAATTCTTCTTCTCCTGGACATAATACTGCATCAATGTTATAAAAAGCAGCATGAAGAGTTATCAAAAACCAAGAAACTCCTAGAAAAAGTTACATATTATGTTTCGTTTTGTATTATAAGATACATCTAAACATATATGATTTAGCAATAAGCAACATTATACTCAAATATATTAAATTTCTAGTACTTTCTATATATATGTGTGTATAGAAATAAGTAGATGTAATATATGATACAATTTGTTTTAAAATTTAAGAATACACATACACACAATCATGCATGTATATATATATATATATATATATATATATATATATACATGCATGATTGTGTGTATGTGTATTCTTAAATTTTAAAACAAATTGTATCATATATTACATCTACTTATTTCTATACACACATATATATAGAAAGTACTAGAAATTTAATATATTTGAGTATAATGTTGCTTATTGCTAAATCATATATGTTTAGATGTATCTTATAATACAAAACGAAACATAATATGTAACTTTTTCTAGGAGTTTCTTGGTTTTTGATAACTCTTCATGCTGCTTTTTATAACATTGATGCAGTATTATGTCCAGGAGAAGAAGAATTGAATGCATTGGTTCAAGTAGTGTGATCTGTTAAATTATTCTATATTTTGTAGAAGAATAGTTTATATATAAACATAAAAAAATATGTACATATATATATATATATATACACACAATGTCCATGATATACGTAATTAAACATTTAAAGTGACTCCTTTATCTGATATTTTGTTACATTAAAGGTACTAATTCTTGTATAAGTTTAAGGAAAAAGAATATTAAACAAATAAAATTTTTTGTTATAGTTATTTAAAAAAGAACATTTACATTTATATTTCTTACGTTTTTTAAATTATTATTTATATTGCTCACATAAATAAAATCAATAATTATATGACGTTATTTCCTTACCATCTTCGCTGAAAAGTCCCGCCGAAAATCGTAATGTTTATTTTCATATGTGTTCTGTATTCTGTACCTTTTGGGACATTCGATGCGCATGCACGAAAAGAGGGTTTGCTATAACACTGGGGTGCGTTCGGAAACGTCACTCAGGTATACCCGCTGCGTTGGAATGAGAGAGACACGAGAATGAGATAAAAAGAGAGGGAGCACGCAGGTGACGTGTAGAACGCATCCCTGCTCAATGATTAATCCATGGACGGAGCGTATTTCGCGGGGAGTGAACTCTCAGGGATGAGAGGAATGAAAGTCGGAAGTGATCACTAAATATGGCGGCGGCCTATATCACGGAGCACAATAGCTGCGTTCGGCATTGTAAATCGAAGACATCGGATTGCTCTTTTCTTCGAAAATGCTCTTTTACTTCGAAAATGCACAGAAGTGAGAGAGATACGAGATCTCATATCTTTTCATTTCTATGCATCTTCGAGATGAAAGAACAATCCGACGTCTTCGATGTCCAACGCAGCTATTGTTTATCTTGGTATAGTGTATTGGAAAATGTACGAAATAAATACGTGTCTATGAGTATGTGTGAATATAAAGTTTTACCCTGATTGCAACTGCCTGTTATATTAAAACATACCTGTGAAATAATAGTCTTTTATCATTTTTACGTTTTCATTCTAGTTGTATTTTATTTTTCCGGCTTCTCGGTTCCCCGGCTTTTACAATGTTTCGTGCATGGATGAATATAAGGACAGAGCGTAAGCTGAGTTTATCGGCAAGGGGCGAGAAGCCGATTTGAGGGACGAGGTATCTCTAAAACTGTGCCTGAATTTGATTGGTTGAGTTGTACTCATGCGCAGTACCACTAATTATAAACGAAGTATTAAGAACATGAACATATAATTCAGAATAATAAGTGAAAAATTAATAACATAGTGAGTAGGAGGCGATTCTATGTAAAAATAGGTAAAAAAAAAGAACATTTTTTTTATTGCAACTTCGTTTTCGAGAAAATCGAGGTTAAAGATTTGTCGAGTAAAGAAGATCTTACTCTTAGCAATGCATTCCGCTTAATTGTACATATAGAGCCACTGTTAGTAAATGACTCTTCGTTAAAGTGCAGAGAGCAAACGCGGTATGAATTCGATATTAATTTAATATGTAATATATCAAGCCAACATTTACGAACCATATTATCTTTTGGGATACTGTGAAGAATATTTAAAAACAATCTGTTTTTCATTAACAATTCATAATCATTAAAAGGTTATCTTACTTATGAAATGTGGTTTTTTTCACTTTGCGTGTGTTTTTTCCAATTTTGATAGTCCGATCTGCTTTTGCAAAAAGGAACACAACACTGCATCATTACTCCAACGATTTATTAACAATAAACAATAAGACAATATTTGCTAACCTCCTCACACGTGCTCAGACGTTAGTGAACGCTAACATGTGGTTTATTCTTTTCAACTGTACTGCTACATTGGTGCAATAAGTTAAAGTGAAATAAAACATATTTGTCTCATTCTAACTTATTGCACCAGACACAGGTAGCTGGAAAGAACAAACCTATGGATGCGAAGACGATACTATTATGGCTCCTGCACACAGGACGTGGTAATGCTTCCGCGCGGCGGAAGTTCGCGCGACAGCCAATCAATATGCTGCTTTCCGTAATAACCTTCTAGCTCTTACGGAAAAACAACATATTGATTGGCTGTCGCGTGGACTTCCGCCGTGCGGCAAGCATTACCGCGTCCTGTGTGCAGGAGCCATTACGCTTGCGCATAATAAAAACCAATCAAAACCAGGCACGTTTTTACCTCGTGCCCCTCTTTCTGTGGCTTCTCCTCATAAGAACTGTGGCTGATATTTTTCTGGAACTTGTACTCCGGTACCTTGATAGAAAGAGCTATTTGAGAAAGTCTGCAAATAAAATATAGTGAAGAAGAAGAAGACAATGCGAGAAAATGACGGCGGTCCTGTGTGTATGACGATCCATCACTGTGCTCGAAGATACATCTTCCATAAGTGAGGGTTGCGCTGGCCGTGTAACTGATTACAGAATAACTGTAAGACGCTTTTCATAATCACCGGGAAATTACAAAAATTACTTCGTTAAAGGAAATATTTGGTTAGTGCGAATAACTTGTCATTTTTCAGTTAAATTTTTGTAGAAGAGTTTAGATATTTGAAGACCAAAATAGGAAGTTCTCGTTAGATATTTAGAGAAGTTGTCCAAGTTGTTTATTTTATTTGTAGCAATTATTAATCTCGTGAAATCAACTATAATTTCTTTTTCTATTTTATTTGATAAATATGACAAATTTTTTGCACCAATTTAATATATTAAAATTACATTTTCTTTTGGTATTGTGTACGATACAATTTTCTCAATTTAATAATATTTTTCTTTGTCCCAGGATTTCGGCAATCTCAAGCGAAGCAACATGCCAGTATCACGAAAATGTCCTTTCACTGAAAATATGGATGATCCGATAAAAAAGATGAGATCCAGACTAAAAAACAAATATTGGCCCATCACTTCCAACTCCATCATGTTAAACATAAAGCTTGTTTGTATTCGAACAATTATAAGTTATATTATTAAATATATATACAATTAACAATTAAAAAAAATATATATGTTAATTAGAACTCTAAAATTTTATTTTTTATCGACACATTTAAAAACAATTAAACATAATGCATGTTTCTCATTCACACGATATCTGATGTAATAACTTTTCATAACAGTACATAAATCCTCTACCGGACTTTATGGTGAAGGAGGAGCTCACTGCGGGAGAGGTGCTGCAATGTAAGCAAGTGTTATCAAATTTGCGACAATTGGAAGAGAAGTATGTGCCATTACCTTCGTCGAGCACTAGTCATAGTGGAAACAGCATGAAAAAAAAAGAACGCTATCACCAGTTATGGGAAGAGATAGAAACGTTCTTGAGACATCATGCAAAAAAATCAGACGCACATATGGAAGTATTTAAATATCTGTTGGATATTAGAAGTACAAACAATAAATACAGAGTGGAGTTGGACCAAGCCCTGCGAGAACTCGACTGGTAACTAAATGATTATATATTAGGTTATCCGATAAGTTTGTAGGAATTTTTTACTTTTTTTACTTCTTCGCGATAGCAGATTATTGAAAAGGGGAAAAAATGAAGCAAAGTTGTGCCTGATAATGAAGGTGTCAGCTTTGGGTTTTTCGTAAAAATTCTTACGAACTTATCGAACAACGCAATAGATTTGGATGTTTAAGAGGATCTAAAAATTAATTCATTACAGTTTTGGACAAGATGGAGTGGGAGGGCGAGTAAATTTGATCAGAGCGACGATGGACTCGCCAATATCGTCGACGACGGACTCGCTAGTGTCGCCGACGACGGACTCGCAAGTGTCGCCGACGATGGACTCGCAAGTGTCGTCGACGACGGACTCGCCAGTGTCGCCGACGACGGACTCGCCAGTGTCACCGACCCAGCCCAGCTAATGTTGCCGTTGCCGATGACGGACTCGCCAATGTCGTCGCCGGCGAGCACGATACGTTTGGACCTATCGTACAAAGGCAAGAGCAGATTGGACATTTGGCTGGAGCGTACCGCGCCGAAGAACCCGAGGATGGAACTTAACGGCAGACTCAACAGCGACGGTCTCAAAGCAACATTGTATCATAATCTGAAAGAAACCAGCAGAGAACCCAGGGAATCCATTCTGGAGGCTTAATTCCCCAACGGGGGGGAAATGTCTAGCTAAGTGACGAAACGATATATGCTACGCAACGTACTGCATTGTAAATATAAGCGATTTTCCACCGGCAGTACTTGCGGATTGAACCAGGACTGTTAATTAAAATCGTTGTATATAGGACACACTCGGTCAACTAATATTTACGTTGAACCGAACATCTCGCGACAAACACGTACGCTTCTACTTTTCTCACTCTATTACGTAAAATATTTATATTTTCGTGTTTATAATACACTCTTTATGACAAAATTATAAGTGCAAATATTTTGATGGTCCTAATTTTGTGATAAAGAGTATAAATTTGCAAGGTCATATAGTCTTTCATGCTTTATGTAAAGACAATTTTCAAAATTCGACTAGAACGAACAATTGGAATTAGTTTCGTTTCGAAAGTGTAAAAGAGAAATTTGGAGATAAAATTATTCGACTCGAATCAGTATCAATATGGACCACCTTGATGTCGAGGCGAAAGCCCGCCTGCGTATAAGAATACATGGGACGGAAACAATTAAAGTAGTACATTATTCTTATCATCTCTCTGCGTTGTCCTGTCAGTCACCTTTCTTCACTGTTCCCTTACTTAAAGATCGTTCTACATAAGTTGCAAGCAGACGCAATTCTTATTGCGACAGTCAATCAGAAGTATCAATGGTGCTGTTGACGCTTCTGATTGGCTGTTGCAACAAGAGTTGCAATCGACTTGCAACTAAAGGTCGTTCTATATTGCAAATCGCTTGCAACTTTTGTTGCGACAGCCAATCAGAAGCGTCAGTAGTACCATTGATGCTTTTGATTGGCTGTCGCAATAAGAATTGCATCTGCTTGCGATCGATTTGCAACTAATGTAGAAGAACTTTATAGCCGACACGTCTGCCGAGTGTCTGGGGTGCCATTACATGAAATACGGAAATGCAGAAGACAAAATCTTACTAGATTTCCGCGTTTCGCGAATTGAATGATTTTTTTCCGCACGTTTGAAAAGCGGAAGGCCCAAAACTTTTCTCTATTGTCCTTTCATCCAAGGTACCCAGGAATGAATTCTAAAAAAATCAGGTCCGAACGTGTTCGACCATGTTTTAATGTAACAGCGGTTAGGCCGAAATTTATGACAATAGATTTTGATGCGCTTGTTCCGCGACTTTATTTCCCTTTATATTACGTAAAGCACAATTTACGTGGGAAAGCGGAACGGTTTGGTGACAAATAAACATCTGTATTTATTTTTTAAATTTGTATTCACTTCATTTACTGCAATTTTTACTAATATGTTTATCTTTTCAGCTTATCTGTTGAATATAAGCATTTTAATTAATAAATACCGTTAAGAATTAATATTTTATAATTCTCCATATCGCTTTTCCGTTCAAAATATGCCTCATGTAATATTAGGCAATCAAAACAGACGCGGAACGCGTAGCGGATCTAGTAAGATTTTGTCTTCTGCATTTCCGCGTTTCCGCGCTTCATGTAATGCCACCCTATCGCTGCACTGAGGAAAAGTACAGCGATGATGACGTCATAAAGTCGCCGTAATCATTGGGCGCGTTCAGCAGACGCAACTGTTGTACAACTGTTGTGTAGATGTCTGTTGAACGCACTTCGCTCAATTACC